TCCTTCCAGATCCCCTGTCCTCCCTCCTGTTCCTTCCAGATCCCCTGTCCTCCCTCTTGATCCTTCCAGATCCCCAGTCCTCCCTCCTGATCCTTCCAGATCCCCAGTCCCCCGTCCTGCTCCTTCCAGATCCCCTGTTCTCCATCCTGTTCCTTCCAGATCCCCTGTCCTCCCTCCTGATCCTTCCAGATCCCCAGTCCTCCCTCCTGCTCTTTCCAGATCCCCTGTCCTCCATCCTGTTCCTTCCAGATCCCCTGTCCTCCCACCTGTTCCTTCCAGATCCCCTGTCCTCCCTCCTGCTCTTTCCAGATCCCCTGTCCTCCCTCCTGATCCTTCCAGATCCCCTGTCCTCCCACCTGTTCCTTCCAGATCCCCTGTCCTCCCTCCTGCTCTTTCCAGATCCTCCTCCCTCCTGCTCCTTCCAGATCCCCTGTCCTCCCTCCTGATCCTTCCAGATCCCCTGTCCTCCCTCCTGTTCCTTCCAGATCCCCTGTCTTTTGTCCTGTTCCTTCCAGATCCCCTGTCCTCCCTCTTGATCCTTCCAGATCTCCTGTCCTCCCTCCTGATCCTTCCAGATCCCCTGTCCTCCCTCTGATCCTTCCAGATCCCCAGTCCTCCCTCCTGATCCTTCCAGATCCCCTGTCCTCCCTCCTGTTCCTTCCAGATCCCCTGTCCTCCCTCCTGATCCTTCCAGATCCCCTGTCCTCCGTTCTGTTCCTTCCAGATCCCCTGTCCTCCCTCCTGATCCTTCCAGATCCCCTGTCCTCCCTCCTGATCCTTCCAGATCCCCTGTCCTCCCTCCTGATCCTTCCAGATCCCCTGTCCTCCCTCCTGTTCCTTCCAGATTCCCTGTCCTCCCTCCTGTTCCTTCTAGATCCCCTGTCCTCCCTCCTGATCCTTCCAGATCCCCTGTCCTCCCTCCTGATCTTTCTAGATCCCTGTCCTCCCTCCTGATCCTTCCAGATCCCCTGTCCTCCCTCCTGATCCGTCCAGATCCCCTGTCCTCCCTCCTGATCCTTCCAGATCCCCTGTCCCCCCTCCTACTCCTTCCAGATCCCCTGTCCTCCCTCCTGTTCCTTCCAGATCCCCTGTCTTTTGTCCTGTTCCTTCCAGATCCCCTGTCCTCCCTCCTGATCCTTCCAGATCCCCTGTCCTCCCTCCTGATCCTTCCAGATCCCCAGTCCTCCCTCCTGATCCCTCCAGATCCCTGTCCTCCCTCCTGTTCCTTCCAGATCCCCTGTCCTCCCTCCTGATCCTTCCAGATCCCCTGTCCTCCCTCCTGTTCCTTCCAGATCCCCTGTCCTCCCTCCTGATCCTTCCAGATCCCCTGTCCTCCGTTCTGTTCCTTCCAGATCCCCTGTCCTCCCTCCTGATCCTTCCAGATCCCCTGTCCTCCCTCCTGATCCTTACAGATCCCCTGTCCTCCGTTCTGTTCCTTCCCACTGAGCTGGTAAAAGATCCCATCAGGGAGATTGAATCACCAGTAGGAGGCTCATGAGATGTTCACGTGATTTTCCTTTTCTTTTTTCCTGTTTCTTTTTTTTATGCCTCCAATAATTGAATAAATTGGCTAATGAGCAAAGGAAATTAATTGCTGTTTTGAAATATGACTGTGGCTTCTCGCGTGTTCTGTCTGTGCCAGCAGCCTCTGTTGCCACTGCTTGTGTCTCGCCAGGAGCTGAGCAGCCTGGAGGGCCTGGACATCAGGAGAGGTCTTTAGGATTTAGCAGGGGTCACAAATGAGGGACAGTGCTCTGCCAACCAGGTCTTGTCTGGTCTACCTGGCCAGAGGCAACCTCAGGGAACCGTGTGTCTCTGGGTATTGTCACCAGCCTTGCCGGGGCCTTGGCACAGCTGGAGCTGTGAATTCCTGTGCTGGTGGTTGGCTCCGAGCGCCACAAAGAGTCAGGCTGGACTGTGACGGCTGGCCCTGCAGGGCTCAGGCTTCCTTGGGGAGATGTGTGGTCTTGATTTCTAGCCAGTGGGGCTGGGGTTGCTGTCTCTGACCGTAGCTTGTCCTCAGTGCCCAGGATACCGTCCAGCTTCTGTCCACTGTGTGAGCGTCTGCTCTGTTTCTGCATAGACCTGTCCCCTGATGGGGAGTGGCCTGTGGGTCCTGGTGTCCCTCCTGTGCTGTGTGGAGTCTCCTGTCCCCACGGCCCAGCACGGATGCAGATAGGTGGCTAGGGTGCTGGGCAGGTGTTTCTGAGGCCAGTGTGGGCACCGGCCCTCACCAGGAGTACCTGCCGTCGTCTTTTCCACAGTGTCCTCAGGCATTGTGCCTCTTGAGTGGCGTAGTGGGTCCAGACCCTGTCTGAGGCCTTGGTCCCCCCCGCCTGGGATGGGCCTGGACCGTCAGTTCCTGTGGCAGCACAGCTGCACCGGTGCCCTGGGAACCAGCACATGTTCAGATGCTGCTGGATTCGATACATACCTCAGTCAGCCACTCTGAGTAAGGCAGGTGGCCTTCTGTGAGGAGCCTTCTGGGGGTCAGAGGGTGGGGGATGGAGGCAGAGGTTCAGCCACACATGTGAGCAAGGTGAGATCAAGTGGCCCGGTAGAGGCGCTGCCCGTGTGGGCCAGACACGCGCCAAATGCCTTCGGGGGCCACACTACGCTGTGCCGCCGGTGCTCTGCCCAAGTGCACAGCGAGGCCTGGGGACTGCTTCCAGCCTGGGGACCCACTTCCAGTCTGGGGGCCCACTTTCAGCCTGGGGGCCCACTTCCGGCCTGGGGATGTGGAGAATGGACCTTGAGGAAAGCCAGGCACTGCGGTCAGGAGGCCTGGCCCTGAGCCCCTGCGTGCTGGGTGCCGTTGTTGTGCAGGTCTGAGTCTTCTCCCAGGACATGGAGTCGGCTCTGGGGGTGAAGTGAAGCCAGGGCCTCCATGACTTGTGCGGAGGGTTCATGCTCCCCATGGTGCCCCGGGGCCTTTCCTCAAGAGAACAAAGGCAGCGAGAGCCCACCAGTCGCCAGGCCCAAGTGCCGGGCATTGGCCGTGGGCCTCCCTGCCTCTGCTGGAGAGGATGGCGGACAGGTTGGGGACCACAAAGCAGGTGATGTCAGGGGTGGGCGCGCCCACAGTGGGGGCGGGGCGGGGCTCCCTCCCCCGAGGAAGGGTGTTCGGTGCCCGCCCTCCTGCTTTCCTCACCTTCCCACGAGCCTGTTTCCCTGGAGAGTTTGGAGGACTTCCCAAGCATGGGCTGGCGGGGCTCCAGAGGGGCAGCGACGGGAGGTGTTGGTCCCAGACCCTCCGTGGGGTTCTGTGGACTCGGACCCTGCTGGCTCGAGCGCAGGACCAGGCCCGTGTCTGGAGCTGCTGCGTGGCTGATGTGGCCATCTGTCTCCTGTGTCTTCCAGGTTCCTCCTGGTCTTCTCCTGCCTTGTTCTCTCAGTGTTTTCCACCATCAAGGAGTATGAGAAGAGCTCAGAGGGTGCCCTGTATATCCTGGTGAGCCCACACCGGGGGAGGGAGGG